CCCCCACACCACCCTAGACCCCTCATAGCCCCCCCCCCTTCCGATAGTCCGGCATATCTGATAATCCGGCATCCCTTGGGTCCTAAAGGTGCCGGATTATCGGAAGTTTACTGTACAAAGAATATAGTGTAATTAAATACTGCATTTAATCTTTTGGTAGTCTCTGCTGTTTGTAGTGAATAATTACCGTTTTATATTAGTGGTCTCACCACCCTAGACCCCTCATAGCCCCCCCCCCTTCCGATAGTCCGGCATATCTGATAATCCGGCATCCCTTGGGTCCTAAAGGTGCCGGATTATCGGAAGTTTACTGTACAAAGAATATAGTGTAATTAAATACTGCATTTAATCTTTTGGTAGTCTCTGCTGTTTGTAGTGAATAATTACCGTTTTATATTAGTGGTCTCTAAGAAGCAAAGGGATGGGCTGATGGATTGTTACCTGTGCTTTTAACTGTCCAGTAATTAAATGTAGGGCTTCGGGCTGCAGTGTTCCATTCAACACCTTTTGCGCATGCTAATTTTATTTTAAAGAGGAAAACTGTTTATATTTTGTTTTATAGGGATGTGCCAGATGAACTTCCAGTATGGGTTGGTTCAAATGAAGCCAAGAAAAGCTGTGTAATTTCTCAAATTGGTGACAATGTATTTGCTGCAGTCAAGTAAGGTTTACAATTTGGGTCCTAACTAAATTAAATTTAGTCTTTGTCTAAGCTTCAAAAGTACTAATATGAGATGTCTTAACTGAGTACATCTGGGCTGTTCAACACTCTCCTCTTATGCTCTTCCTGAAATAGAAGTTGGAGAAAACTAGATTTAAATTTAAACGTACAGCTTTAGAGTGGTATATGTCAGCAAGAAGTATAGATGTGTTCTCACAGGATACTGAAGACTTGGTTTATGCAAAAAATGTTTGGGCAGGGACCAGGGTTGCTAAAACTGTAAATTTACAGTTTCAAAAGGCCTATAATTGGATTGGTTTATGAAATCCATAAAAACGCTTCCATGTTGGGTTAAAAAACCCTCTGAGCTTCCTGCCTCTTGGGCAAGCTCCATGCTGCAGAGCGGATCCAGATGCTCTACAGTTCTTGGAGCAGGAGCAAAGGGTGGGATTCTCCTGGTGGGGACTGCTCTTATCTGCCTATGGTGATGGACTTTGAATTCTTTGGTGTTGCAAACTTCCCTCCACTGCTGCCGCTTGTGTTCCTGCTGCAGCTTGCCCCCTCCTTGAATCTTGCCTTGTAGCCTAAAAGGTTCTTTGTCTTGTATGTGCCTATCACCTGCCTCATCCCCAAAGACACTCACAAGTTGGAAGATGTTGATGTGGCTAGCAAGGTTAAACTAGCATTACATTGCTATTGTGCTGTATGAATAAAAAACTGTACTTTTTTTTGTTTGCTTCTATCCATCTTTCTGTTGTGTAAGAATGTGACTGTAAAATAGTTTCAGTATGAACAGTTCTAATTGTTTTTGTGAACATATATCTGCAATTGGCAACCCAGGCAGCGATGAATCCAAGTGAAGATGTATTTCATGTTCTTGCCACATGGGTGCATTCTCCCTTCAAAATGTAGGATTCCTACTCTTAAATCAGGAGCTTACTTTCCTTCAGAGTTCTGAGTTTTTGAGGTTGCCTATAAAATAGACTACAATAATAGTATATTTCAAGAAGTTAATTGCTTTGTCATTTATCCTCCCTTTTGATATGGGTCTGACGTACTCAATCAGAAACAGAATAGTATGTTGACCTCTTTAGCTGTAAACTTTTGTTGCAGTGTGGATTTGTGCATTATCCTAACTTAGTGACTTGTGTACTCATGCTCACTAACATCTGGAATAAGTGTTTCTATTAAGTTTATTTAAAGCTAGTGTTTAACATATTAACAATAATCAGTCTTTAGAGAGCAAATACATGTGATTCTTGCCACGAGCAACAGTGATCCCTGTGTCTTGTTGCCTAACACTTTCTGATAGTCTTGTGACCTTTTCTAGTAGGGCTTCTTTGTTTGGCAGGGGATAGTGCCATGAATTACTGTACAGGCTTGTCTGACAAACTGTTGGAAAAACTCAATTTCTGTGCTGTTTGTTACATTGCTATCATTTAATTTTAGCAGCATACCAAAACCCCTGAACATCTGAAGGCCAAGTGGCTACTTTGACAGCAGCATGCGCTTCATTTAGGTCTCTGAAATGCAGTTGCTCTGGAAGCAGCTGGCTGAGTCTCTTCCTTTGTGGAGTGAGGAAGAGGTCAGGCTTCTCTGCCACAATTGCCTTAGTCCATTGGTTACCAAAAGGAGTAGAAGTCCCTTAACTGCTCAGAGCTGAATGAGAGACAAACAGCCGAGAACCAGGATTGCGTGAAGACTAGACTCATTAACTCTTCATCTGTTGCAACTTAATATAAAAAATTTACACTTCACTTCACTGTACATAGTCTGAGACTAAAATCCTGTTCTCTACTATGGCAGGCCCAAATTCTATCCATTTTTACATGTATTGTCTCTCAGTTTCCTGTCTCTTTTTTTTTTTTGGGGGGGAGGTATCCATGACCATATGATTTATTTTAAATGAAGCTACTTGTGCAAAAATAACCCACTGCTTTATTATCATTGACTGAAAATATCCTGCTCCTGATGTCAGCTAATGAAATCCTACATCTCAAGTGGTAGAAATCTGTTTAGTTTTGAAGATCCATGGTTCAAACCCTGGTGGCGATGGGTGATGATAGAACTTGCACTTCATTTCCTTTTAAAGGAAGCTACCTGCAAAAACTAAAGGCATTTTTGCATTTTCTTCCCCTCCCTCTCAAAACCCCCAAACTGTGCCTTATTCAGCACACAGGATAATTGAAGTTAGAACATGTGCAGAGAAGGAGGCAAAGGGCTTCAGGAAGAGGGAAAAGAGTTGTGTTGGCTTAGTAAAAGTGAGCTTAATGGCTTGTATCTGTAGTGGCATTCAAGAAGCTGACATCTGATCAATTCTAAACATGAGAGAATGTTTTAGGTATGAAGAACACTAGAACTGGAAGGGACCGCAAGAGTATCACGTTCAGTCCCCTGCACTCATGGCAGGACCAAACAGTCTATATCGGGGTGGGCCTGATCCAGTCCGCAACATGCCCTGCTGTGCTCCTGCCCCAGGTCAACCAGGATTTGGGAGTGGCAGAGTATTCAACGTTTTCTCCCCCACTGGGTCGCACAGCTGTTCAACTTTCAAGTTCAAAATGGCTGGCAGTTCCCTCTGGGTGGATGACAGGGAGAGAGACCTCCTGTGTTCCCCCAAACCATGGGGAACCACATGAAGTCTACCCCCTTCTCTCCACCTTTCCCCGTGCACAGTGCCTAGAGAGTACTGCCCCTTAAGCCCAAGGCCCTACCCCTTCCACCTAAGGCCTTCGACCACTACCAACATTGGTGAAGTTGCTCCCTACAAAAACTATTTCCCGGACCTGCTCTATATCATCCCTGATGAATGTCTGTCTAACCTGCTCTTAAATATCTCCAGTGATGGAGATTCTACAACCTCCCTAGGCAATTTAATCCAGTATTTAACCACCCTGAAGGGAAGCTTTTCCTAATGTCCAACCTAAACCTCCTTGCTGCAATTTAAGACCATTGCTTCTTTGTGCTATCAGAGGCCATTGAGGACAATTTTCCCCTCTACCCTAAACACACTTTTAGTTACCTGAAAACTATTATCATGTCCCTTTTCAGTCTTCTCCTTTCCAAATGAAACAGGCCCAATTCCTTCAGCCTTGCATCGTAGCTCATGTTTTCTAGACCTTTAATCATTTTGGTTGCTCTTCTCTGGGCCTTCTCCAGTTTCTCCATCTTTCTTGAACTGGGGTGCCCAGAACTGGACGCAATACTCCAACTGAGGCCTAATCAGTATAGAGTAGGATGGAAGAATGACTTCCCTGTCTTGCTTGTAACACTCATTATTCTGGGATGCATTAACAAGTGTTTGTTTTGTTTTGTTTTTTGCCAGTGTCATACTGTTGACTCTTATTTAGCTTGTGGTCCGCTATGACCCCTCAATCTCTTTTTGCAGTACTCCTTTCTAGACAGTCACTTCCCATTTTGTATGTGTGAAACTAATTGTTCCTTCCTATGTGGAGGACTGTGCATTTGTCCTTATTAAACTTCATCCTATTTCCCTCAGACCACTTCTCCAGTTTTTCCTGATCATTTTGAATTATGACTCTGTCCTCCAAAGCAATTGCAACCCCTCCCAACTTGGTAGCAGACTTAAGTGTGCTCTCTGCTATCATCTAAATCCATTGATGAAGATATGGTATAGAACTGGTCCCAAAACAGACCCCTGCAGAATCCCACTTGTTATGCCCTTCTAGCATGAACCATTAATAACTCCTCTCTGAGAATGGTTATCTAGTCAGCTATGAACTCACCTTATAGTAGCCCCATCTAAGTTGTATTTGCCTAATTTTTTTATAAGAAGATATGCAAGAGCGTATCCAATGCCTTACTAAAGTCTAGGTATACCATGTCCACTGCTTCTCCTTTATCCACAAGATGATAGAATATCAGATTGGTTTGACATGATTTGTTCTTTACGAATCCATGTTGGCTGTTACCTGTCATGGAATGTTCTTCAGATTTCTGCAACTTAATTGGTATTGGAGGGGCGGGGCAGTGGGGGGGAGCTAGGAGGCGGAACAGTCAATAGCCTCCATTATTCTGGAAAATGTCAAAAGAGCCCCATCTCAGCCTGCCTTTCCTGCCAAGTAAGTTATAAAATGTGGACACACTGAATGGCTTGTCTGTCAGATAAAGAAAAATAAAAATGGCAGTGGAAGGGGAGTGCATGGAGGGAGAAAGAGGACACAACCTCTAGCATGTGGTGCAGAAGGGAATGATGAAGGACACTGATTTGATGGGAGGGAAGGAATGGGGACCTTGGCTTTGGGATATGGGGGGAGGGAGGGGAGATTGCACACTCCAGAGGCTCCTTCCACTTCTCCATCTTTCCTCTCTCCTGCAATGGGCTTAGTTTCCAGAAGGAACAAAATGGGCCACCCTTTGGCTAAGGCAGGTTAACTGACTACAAGAAAATCCAGTTGGTTCTTGCCCCTGCCACCAACTTGATATCATAAGTAGGCTACTTAAATGACACTTTTGGTCAGTTGACACACCAGCTGTGTGTTCCTCATATTCTGGATAATCAGCCTGGGATACTTAGAGCCTCATTTTCAGAAGCACATGCAACTGCAAGAGTTGTCAGTAGGGATGTTAAATTTTGAGTAATTGACTAAAACAACTATCAACAGCTCCCATGGACAACTAGGATTGTGAATGACTGGTCAGCTATCCAATAAGCAAATGCTTATTGGATAGTTAAGTAGACTAGTGGCTTCTCCCCCTTGTTGCCTCTATCAGAAGGAGGGGCAGGATGTGAAGCAGAAAGGTACTTCAAAGCGGCAGCACCGTATGGAGCCTGGGACCAGACCCTGGGCTCCATGCAATGCTGCCGCTTGGAAACACTGTATGGCTTGGGGCCAGCTGGGGTGTCCCCAATTAGTTGATAGGGCACCTTCTCCTTTGAAATGTAGCAACAGCGCTAGGGCTGTTGCCACACTTCAAAGGCAAAAGCGCTGCCAGGAGAATGGGGGCCAGTGGGGCAGTCCCCTGCTGGCCCTGTTCTTCCCACGGAGTTTCAAAGCAGCAGCACCATGTGCAGCCCGAGGTCAGCTGGGGACACTCCCCCGCTGACCCTGGGCTCTGCGGTGCTGCAACTGTGGAAAAACACCACGGGGAGCCCAGTGCTAGGCTGCACGCAGCGTTTCAAAGTGGCAGCGCTGCATGGAATGCAGGGTCAGCAGGGGAGTCCCCAGCTGATCTTGGGCTTCATGTGTTGCTGCTGCATTGAAATTCTGCCCAGCTGTCCCCAGGCTGTACAGTGTATTGAAGCAGCAGCATTGCATGGAGCTTGGGGTCTGGCCCCAGACTCTACATGGTGCTGCCGCTTTGAAGTACCCCCTATGCTTAACTCCTTCCCCCTTCTGATAAAGACAGCAAGGGGCAGAAGCCACTAGTCTACGTGACTATCCAATAAGCATTTGCTTATTGGATAGTTGACCAGTTGGTCACATCCCTAGTTGTCTGTGGGAGCTGTTGATAGGGTATTACTCTGGCAGCAAGTCAGTGTGGTAGGAGGAATGAGCCAGGAGCTCCAAATTGCTAATCATGTCTGTCAGTGATTCACTACATAACTCCAGGCAAGAGACCCTAAGTTTTCTCTCCCAGAGGTGTTGTGAGCAAATAAAAATGGCTTGAGTGGCATTTTGATCCAGCACTAAAGACCAAAAGAAAATTAACAAATCTTTGTGTTTGGTGTATAACAAGTCATGAAACCACTCATTGAATTATTACAGTAAAAGTAACAGCTGCTTCAGTTGATAGGTATTCTTTGTCCCCTGTGCACCTTATGGGACAAGTCCTGTAGAAATATTGTGAGCATATAACTGAAGACTACATCATAATACATGTGCACAAGGCTACACAAGTAACCATAATTATTTAGCATTTCCTAATTTGAAACTAAGTGTAGTCAAGCACTCAATGTTATCTCTAGTATGAAATCGATATAAACATATGCCTTTTTGATTGAGATCTGTGTGTGTGGTGGGGGGGAGAGTATTAGATTGTTTAAGTTTCTGAAAAAAGATATCAGCTGTGTAATGAGTCTGTCTTTGTTTCAGATTGTTTTTGTCTGAAAAGCTTAAGAAAGTGACAGATAAAAACAGAAGTTCTATTTTGAAAGACATAGATGAAAGCCTTACAAGAACAGCAAAAGAACTGGGTTATTCGCTGGAACAGAAAACCATGAAGATGAAACAAAGAGATAAGAAAGTATGGTGCCTTCTTCTCTATTCTCTCTCTTCTCCACCTCCCTCCCTCCCCCCAGCAGGGTAGAAAAGTTACTAAGGTATTTCTCTTTGGCTGAACAGGACAGAGAGCTAAGAAGTTTAGATGCAGCAGTCTCCAGAGCACTGACTAAGGGGTGAGATTGTCTGTCTAAAAGTATGAAGAGCTGCTCCTCTTGGTCATTCCTATGCCTGAAAAGTGGAGTCTGTTGGCTGCAGTTTTTCACAGGACAAGAAACAGTCAGCCTACTTCTAATATTACACATAGTCCACCAGATAAACATCATCTTGTGGACATCATATGATGTCAATAACCACTATTATAAAATGGTGGTTTGGTATACTTTTATTTTAGAGAGCTAGCAGGCCTATAGGGTTGGTTGGCTCACTGAGTCCTAATATAGTGATTTAATTGTAGATGGGCAACTCTAGATGGCAACTTCTCATATGAAATGGTACATCCTTTAGTGTTGCGGGAAACCTCTCTGTATCGTGGTGGCTGCTAACTGTCTCTTAAGCACCCCCTTCCAGATCTCAGGTGGGGAATGGTTTTTCTTCAGTTCTTTAGTACAGACTGGCCCTTCAAACCAAAACTCCAGTGTATTTCTTCCCTTAGTTAAGGGGCTTTCCACTCCTGTTTCCTTGAGCTGGCTCATAGTTCAATGTCTCTGCAGGAGCCAGTCTTGCTCTTTTTTGCAGCTGCTTCTTCAGCCAGCAACAGGGATTTTCAGGCTTCTGTTCCTTGAGCATCACACTACCTGTTGACTCTGGAAGTCTCAGGTACTTCTCTCAATCACACCCATACTACTTGCTGCCTTTTAAAATTTGGAATCAGACGAGGCTCATCTCTAAAGCCACACATCTGCAGATATCCACTTTATATCCATGGACCATATTTATGGCTTGGATGCAGATATAAAGTTTTTGTAGCCGTGCAAGGCTCTACTAATGTTCTAACCAGGGATGATTTAGCCCAAGGGGCTCCAGCCCAAATGTAAGGCAGCCTGTTATATATATTTCAAAACATGCCTTCCCTCCTCTCTCCTCCCCCCCGCCCCTCCCAAAAAAATCCAGATTCCCTGTGCAAATATCCATGAACTCAAGGAAGAGTTATGGTGAGGTCTAGATGGCAGCAGACATCCAAGTGAGCCAAAGAACTGAACTGCCCACTCTGATTTATTTTCTAAAAAACTAATCAACTCATAGTGTTTTGGAAAACTAGCTGTTTTTTCCTTCTTGTGAGAGCAGCATCTGCCTGTAGAGCCAAGGGGACCAGCTCAGTGTTCCCAGAAGGGGTGGGGCTGAGAGCAGCTGGCCCTCAGTACTACCTAGGAGTTGGCATTCTCTCTTTCTGCCCCTCTTCCCCCCGTCCTTAGTGTTTCTCGTGCTCTGGCAGTGACTTAAAGGGACTGGGGTTCTAGCTGCTGCTGCTGGGCCCTGTTGAATTGCAACACCTTCTTTGCTCCGCCTCCCCGTCAGCAGGCATGACTGCTGCTTTAACAGTCACCAGCACCTTCATGTGTAAGTTCTCATAGTACAATTAAACTTACCCTTTTTAAAAATAAACTAACTTCTAAGAGGCATTTACTGAAGGTTGCACAAAGGGAAAAAGTGTAGAACTACTTAAGTACAAGAATGCAGTTTAATGTGTGTATGTTCGGTAGGCCACTGATAAGCTACTAACATGAATAGAGAACTTTTTGCTGGATAGTGTCTTGCTATTTGTATGGGGGAAGGGATAATCTGATGAATTTTCCAACAAGGAAACTCTTAAACCTATTTTTGAGATGCAAACTTGCTGTGAATAATTGGAAAACTCAGTTTCCTTAAGGATATTTGGAGCAGAAATTAGGTATAGATTCAAGTTAGAAATAAGCTAAAAATCAGTGGGTCAATTTTTGGACCAAGAGGGTAGTATAATTTGGAGACGCTTCACGTACACAAGACACTAGCAATGGAGGCTCACCAAATGAGGAACATTGCACATGGACTCTGACTATTTAGATTGAGTTACTATGGTATGGCCATGCAAATCTGGAATTGTGTTCATTTAAAAAGCCTGGCTTGTTGCTTGCAGTGTAATAGACTGCAAGTTCCAAATTCTGCTAAAGAGCAGACTGAAAAGACTAGGGAGTGCAGGAGGTTTGTACATGGTGATGGAGGGGTAACTAATACTCGCCCACAGCTACAGCAAAAAGGGGCAAACTGAATGAGTAATATTTTTAGGGGTACAAAAGGGTTAATATTACTTTAAAGAACTTGTTAAACCTTTTGAAATAGCATGAAGTTACAGTTGGATATTAGGAAAAACTGCTTCACTAGGAGGATGGTGAAGTACTGGAATGAGTTACCTAGGGAGGTGGTGGAATCTCCATCCCTAGAGGCTTTTTAGTCTCAGCTTGACAAAGCCCTGACTGGGATAATTTAGTTGGGATTTGTCTTGCTTTGGGCAGGAGACTCGACTCGACTTCCCGAGGTCTCTTCCAGCCCTATGATTCTATGACTCTCTATTTATGATCTGATGTTTCTCTTTGAGAACACAGTATTGAACAAAAGGTTTTTAATGGGAATCTAATAAATGCTAAGCTTGATAGACTGAGCATTATCAACTTTTTTTTTTCTCTTGACACACCCTGTCCTCCGCTAATAGATTCAAGAACTAAGGTGCATAGTCAGGAAACTGGAGTAACAAACTGAGATACTGGGGGGGGGAAAAAAACCTTTAAAAAAATCATATAGTGCCTTATATAAACACGGTGAGCCTGATGGTCACTCTTCTTTTTACAAAACTGCAAATGCCCATAAGTAGATAAGTCACACAGTAGCTTGTCAGTATAACCTGTCAAAAGGAATAAACTGTTGAAGGCATTTAGATAGTATTGCCTACAATCAGGCTATGTCTAGACTACGTTCTATTTTTGAAAGAGGATATGCAAATCTGAAGAATTTGCATATCTTCTTCCCATCTCACTGTCAAAAGCGGAAGTAGTTTGGACGCGATTTTTTTGGGAAAAAAACCCCTTTTTTGAAAAAACTGCTCTTCCTTAAATGAGGCTTACTTTTTTTTGTTTGTGTATGGGTGTTTTGGGAAAGGTTTTTCCTGAAAATAGAATGTAGTTTAGATGTACCCCCGGTGATTGTAAGATCCCCCTGCATCTACCAACTAGATTGTTCCATCACTGTAGAGTTTAGAAGTAAAATGTTGAAGTTGTAATTAGACTTGATGGCAAGGGTGACCACTGTTACAAATTCAGTCTCCTAGACGCAAAGTTAATTTGTTATATCTTGGTAAATCATGGGCACATTACCCCTAGTGGTAAAAAGCAAGTTGGTGTCTTGTATAGCTTTTATCATTGGGTTTTATCATAAATCTTTTTTTCTCTTATTCAGGTAGTGACTAAAACATTTCATGGAGCAGGTCTGGTTGTGCCTGTAGATAAAAATGATGTTGGGTACAGAGAGCTCCCTGAAACCAATGGTAATTTTTTTAAATAAAAGCATTCTTGTTCATATCCTCCTTCTTTTAGTTAAGTTACACTGAAACATTTCTTTTGGCTGATCCAAAATATGGATTGCATTTATACTAGGTGACGATATTAATACTGTGGTGGACAGCAAACAGCTGATCTTTCACTATCATAATACTTGAATATGTAATTTTGGTTTGAATCCTTTAATTGGATGAAAACCAGGGTGCAGTGAAGCATTGAACTGGCCTGAAACAAGATGATTGAATTATAAATGTATTGTTGTGGAGACAATTTAATTTTTCCTCTAAGATGAGTGGTTTAAGTGCCATAAGATTCTTTTTATAACCAGATGTAACTTAACACGTATACAAAATCTTCAGGAGGCAGTGACTTCAGTTATTCTCAGAAGTTAGAGAAACACTGCAAGTACCCCGATCCAGAGTCATTTCTCAACTGTTTCCACCCACAACTCCAAAAGAATAGACGTTTTCCTCTGAACCTGTATTCTAGGATTCATTGTGCTGTTTGAGCAAAAAAGATCACTGCTTTCTATAGCTGAAGTGGGTACATACCTAATTCATATGTAATGAATGTGAATTCACATTTTAAATAGTAGAAAAGTAAATTCTCTCCCCCCCCCCCCCCCTTCCATTACAGCTAATCTTAAAAGAATTTGTAAGGCCATTGTGGATGCTCCTAGCGATGAGCAGAGACTGAAAGCCTTTGCACCCATTCAGGAAATGATGACTTTTGTTCAATTTGCTAATGACGAATGTGACTATGGAATGGGCTATGAACTGGGAATGGACCTCTTTTGCTATGGGTCACATGTAAGTATTAAAATAGTCATCATTCAGCAGACATGTACATGTTGTGTTTTGAGGGTAGAACTGGACTTGTGTGGCTTTATTCTTGCTAAAAGCAAGTTGACATTTTTGGTAGCTGTTACAGAACAAACATACAATAGGCCCACAGGTCTGTGTGTGTATTTGTGGGCTCTTTTTTTTTGTAGTTGCGTAATGGTGTTTACAGTTGTTTGAAAGAGCACTCTGTCTGCTCAATACCACTAACTTAGCAAATGTAGCATGTATGACTTGGCAGTATATAAAGTCACTGGTAAGATACCTTACACATTCATTTAACATGACTGTAGTTTGCCAGTGCGACTGTTGAATTGCTTATTCTTGCCAAAGGAAAACCTCTATGCTTAATGTAGCTGAAACAAAATAGGTGCTGGTAAGTACAAACTTGAATACCTCCTTTAAAGTTACAACTGGATGGACAAATACTGTGGGTTGAACGTCTCTCATCCAGCACCCTCAAAATGGCTCAGGTCCGTGGGAGGTCAACATTGTCTAGCAGCATTACCAACACCTCCAACTGCTTAGTGGGATGTTAAAGGACACTTAAGGGTGAAATAGAGCTAAATCCCAGCACAACACTGAACCAGGACTGGTGGCTATAAGCAAACTTAATGGGAAACTTAATTGGCCACATCCCTAACAAATGGACATCCAGCTAACTACAGTCATGCTGGAAATCAGGATTTCTCTTATGGTGTACGACCAAGTTGTTAACTCTTAATGGAGGGGAAGGGTATTCTGTCTGCCAAGCTCTGCTCACCTGCTTTTCATTCTATTGTTTGTAGTATTTCCACAAGGTCGTTGGTCAGCTGTTATCTCTCGCATATAACCTGTTGAGGAGGAACCTCTTTGCTGAGATTGTTGAATCGCATTTAGCTAAAAGAAGTGACGAGAATGTGGACCAACTAGCAGCATGATCCAAAGAGGGCTTAAAGTTTCAAGTATTAGTGCTGCAAAACTTGATTTTGTTAAATGGATATAGGTGTTTTCATTAGTAATATAAAGTAATGTTTGTGTGTAGTAAATAAAACTTTTTAAAAATAAACTAGACTAGGTTCCTTTTTATAGCACCAGAAAACAGTGTTTTCTAATTATACTAGGGGTAGAATACTAATTCCTAAACTTGACTCAAACCTGAGCTATGCTACAGGGGGGGCAAAAGGTAACTATCCAACCTGACTTGGCCATTAAATGATGGCATTTTGCACCTCATATAATAACATGGGCTTGTCTTCCATCACATAACAATGCTGAAACTTTCTTACAAAACATTGTTGAATGTTTTGTGACTGTCCATGAAACGTATCTACATCTTGTAACACATTTTTCTGCCACTCTTGGTATTCATTTACTACTGCCATCAGTAGGGGAGCAGGGTTTATGCACTCAGTAGTAGTGTTATACAGTCCAAGGAGGAATGGCTGCTCCAAGTTAGTGCATATAGATTTTTTCAGTCAATGTAGGATTCCAGTATAAATGGACAGTTGCACTACTTACTGCATAGCCTTACACAGAAAACACTGTGTATTCTTCAAAGACCCAGGCCCTTCCTCTTTCTGTGTCTTCACATTCTCCTGTGCTGTGATAGATGCCTAGTTTCATGTGCTTTGAGCTGGTGGAGGTTTCAGGAAACAACTCCTGGAACCGCTGTTAGGGATTTGCCATGGTACTACATGTTTGCTGTTCATGCTGCTTCTGCCCCTCCAGAGTGGAGCATAATTCAGGAAGCCATTCTTTCTAGTGAATGTACAGCAGAATGTGGGAGGGGTTGTTGACCTGTGTAGAGCTATACCTGCTGTATACCTGGCCCACATTCTGGTGACAGTGCAGAACTCACCAACTCCTCTTAAGAAACTCATTTTAGCAGTAGGAGTGTGGGCAAGAGCAGAAAATCAGAGAGGCCCATGCATAGAGTACGTATAATAGGATTGGTTGAAATGGCTGATTCAATTAGTGATAGTTGAGAACCAACACTAACATTTTTACAATTGTAGTCCCCTTATTAAAGGGGCTGCTGGCTGTGTGGGGTTTTTTTTTGGGGGGGGGGAGGGGAGAGGATCCTTTGTGCTGCAATCTAGCTGCAGAGACTACAACCCCTATCAGCCTGGGGGGGAGAAGGGGTCAGAATGGTGGGTCTTCTAGGCATGGAAAGAGGGTTAGGCTAGAATCTATTTTGGAGAAAGGAGCTAGGCTGCTGGTGGGGAACTTTTTTTTTTTTAAATTTATTTATTTTAAAGCCGGGAGCTGTAGGTTGCAGCTAGAGCCTGACTGAGAGCCTGCCAGGGCTTGGATCTAGCAGGCTGGTTCAGGAGCTTTTGATTGTCCCTAGAGGGGAGAGACTGGGGCTGTGCCTGTGGCTGAGAGGGGCCTACATAAAGCTGCACCGGAGGCAACCAAGTAACTGGGCTCTTTGCTAAAGTGTTGCCTGGACACTAACTCTGTCAAAAGAAGCAGTGATCTGCCGAGGGCACCAGAGCTGCTGGAATCTGGTGAGGCATGTGGCAGTCACGGGGGATTTTACAGCTAGCTGCTCAGCTTGGACGAACACATACCGAACCTGCACAGTGCTGTCTCCACTCCAGTTACAGACCTTCAAGGGCACCCACACAAGCATCTGGGATGGGATAAATGGTGGCAATATAAATGCTAGATAAGTTTGTGTACTTTAATTGATTTTTCACTTTAAATCTGTTAACCTTGTTTCTTTAAGGTGATAATTAGATATATATATATTAGTGATGATTGTTTTCTTGGAGTTAGATTCAGACTATTGCTGGAATAATTTTATTCCTAGAGGCTCCAAGGCACACTGGTAAGTGTGTATAGGGCCAGCCAGGTGCAGGCACTGCCACTGTATATTCTTTAGGAGCAAGGGACTGGATAGGGAATCCCCAACTAAGCAACATCACCCCTGGGGTACTCAGGATCTCCTTTTATGTTAAAAACATCAGGCGCCCAGGCACAAGTGTGAGTCTGACCTAGTTCCAAATAACCCAGGGAGAAAAAGGGAGTTATGCAATGTTAACATGAGAATCTTTTTTTTCTTGAAAATATTTGGGCCCCATGTCCATTTGTTTCTGCTGTGAAACATGTAGTTCCACCCACTCCAAGCATCTCATCTAACAGCACATACACTGTTGTAACCACAATGTAATTGAAAGGTGATTCTCTTCCTTGAAATTGGATATAAAAGAAACACCAGACCAGCACAGATGTAATTAGAACTAACTTTCACCTCATCTTGTAGCCTTAGTCTATATCTACACTGCAGGCTTTTTGCATAAGAACAGTAAGGTGTGGGAACAGAGGGCTTCTTGCACAAGAGTTATTCCTCCCCCCACAAGGAATAAGCCCTCTTCTGCAAGAGCTCTTACACAAGAAGACAGTGTGGATGGACAATAGGGGTTTCTTGTGCAAAAAAACCCTATGGCTAAAATGGCCATCAGAGCTTTATTGCACAAGACAGTGTCCTCACTGCCATGGATGCAAAGCACATGGTAGTGTGGACGTACTCTTGTGCAAGAACTCTTGTGTAAAACAGTTCTTGCACAAAAAGCCTACAGTGTAGACGTAGCCTTATGCTTATATGGTAGGATTCCATTATTTATGAGTAAGCTGAAAATTTTTAAAGACATAATGCGTGAATCAATAGGGCACAGGTTTACTAGTAAACTACTTCAAACACGCTGCTGCTGTCAATGCTGAAGCCCCAGCAGAATTTTATTAAGCAGCCACAGCTTCCCAAAGCCCATTAGAAAATTAGCTTTAGAGAATTCTCTCTTAACTCAGCACCTGTATTGCCATTTTCAAATGATCTAACAAAAGGTAATCTCTAATTAGAAAGTTACTTATAATGCACAAGTCAGCATAAGCAGCTCAAATTTTCAGATTGCAAGATGAGATTTGTGCACTAGGAAATGTAAACTGCCTCTTTCTTAAAAGTGAACAAATAAGATACAGAAATTGCTAAGCATTAAGATGAAACATCAATTTTATGGTCACTTGTCAACAGAATCAATTTTAAATATTCATGCATATGCAGTGTTCATGGCCTCAACTGTTCATTTTGTGCACACACAGCAAATGTAAAAAGGCAGACTCTGGCTGATTTTTCAGAAATGTTGAAGTTCTGGAAAAATGTGCACTCAGATGTTAACTTTACATACTTGAGTGGGATTACACTGTGTAAAATATGTCCTTGGAGGAGTGGGCCTTACTATAGATTTTACTGATTTATGGTAAAATTCATTAATAGCCCAAGAAGTTTACTGTCCAATGTACTGACAAAAGGTTTGCTCTCAAGCAATATGAAACACCAGTAAAGTTGAATTGCAGTTCAATTGAAAAGTAATAGTTGGTTTGGATGAATAGTAGATGGCTTCAGTTTCTACCACAAAATTACTGTAACTAAAGTGGTTTAAAAGTGAAGTATTGAAACTTTAGGTAAATACAGAATTGTGGCTATAAGCCAACAGTTAAAATTAGATGGTTGCATAGTAAAGCAACAATTAGGAACTAAAATGTTCCACAGCTTTAAAGCAAAACATTTTTAAAATTAAATTTTTCAAAAAATATCTACCACCATAGAATTGCAACTGCAAAACTGCCACAAACTCAGATGAAATTCTGTAGAATTTTTTAAGGTAAAAATTGCTTGCCGCTAATTTTCCTTTGATGCAAAGAGATGCCCAAGATACGTATGTAAATTTCATCAGGGAAAAGCCAAGTGAGTATTTGACAGTACATGAATTAAAAGTCCAACAAAAAATGGTCATACAGAAATGTTTAATATATTTATGATTGAATCATCGCAGTAATCAGTTTACTGTAATGATACGCAACTCTACCACACGATTATAAATAAAAACATTAAGATCAATATTAAATACAGCTCTAGGCAACATCACAGATTAACAAACTATGCATTCTTCATGAACCAGTAACTAAACAGTTAAAAACAAAAAGATGCTGACACCCTTACCCCATCTGCTCAAATCAGTTAATTGTAATAAGGCGTTGGGAAATTTTACATTAGAGAACAAACCTTTTTTGTTGAACAGTACAGGCACGCTTAATCCGTATCAGAATTTCTAATGTACGATGACTAGATAATGTCAAATATCAATGAGGAAAGCATAGCAAGTAAAAACAGTGAACAGAGGGGTATGAAATCAGCACAATATAAATGTTGCACTTGGAGTTACACAACAAGGGCCTGAATTGTATTTTTTCACTTCATGCAGTTTCAAAGTAGAACTAGATATGAATTTATAAAATACACACACTGATGTGCCTTATGGCAAAGAACAACAGCGGTAGGAGTGGGGTTTCAAAGTGATTAGAAAATATGCATTTTTTTTTAAAGAAAAGCATGTTTATATTGTTTCACTATAAGAAAGACCAACAAGCTTTAGCTGGATGATGAAAGGCAGCATTACCAGTAACCTCCTGAACTGACTTCTACAGACAAGCCAAATTTTGCACTCAGATCAATTGAAATTAGAACTAGCTCCAAAAACCAATTACGCTGCTTCCAATTTATGTAATGGTTGGATCGCTGTAATATGGCATCATTTGGCCCATTATATTACTTCAGTTAAAAAATTAAAGTTAATTTAGTTGCAAAACTGCACTTTTAATAGTATCTTGATTCCCTGCTTTAGTTCCAAACCAACCTTTAAAAGGGGGCTGACCATGAGTAGCACAGGCTCTGTAGAAAACTCTTCTGTTTTCTACTGGGACAAGACAACAGAATTTAAACAATCATTACAGTTTTATAAATAGTCCTGATTGAGAGAAGCATGTAAACACATGCATTACTTTTAAGAATGCTACTAGTCCCATTAGCTTCACTGAGATTACTCTAACTGTGGGAGAATTCTTCACCTGTTACATTTGGAGCCAAGTAAAATTGCAGAATTCCCTCAAGACTGATGTCATGCTAAAAGTAAGCAGGCATGTAGTGCTTTGCTGAATCAGAACCTTCAGGATTACAAATGCTAAAAGTAGCTAAGAGTGATTGATTTTTTTTTTAAACCTGGTATATTTCATAGTTTGAGGAATAATGTTAGGAGGTCACTATGTCCAATTCCAAATTATAAAATTACTGAATGTACAATGACATGAATGTAACATGCACACCAGTTTTTTAAACTGCCCCTTCTCTATTCTATCGTTTTCTTTTTTTGGGACAATAAGTTCTTGGGATGTTGCCTTTTCTTTGTGTGTGATTTTTTAAAAACCTGATAAATGAATATGTTCAGCTAATAATTACAACAGGCTTTCTGAAAAGAAAAAAAATGTTCTGAATCTGTCTGCCTGCTAAAGTGTATGTTGCTGCTGAAGTTTAAAACCTACTCAATCTTTCAAGTAAGTTTGTGTTTCATTTTCTAAGAAGCTACATTTCATTCAAACTTTCAGCCAGTGTATTTCTAGATTCTTAAACACAAGTCAGTCACAACAGGTCTCACAATTAATTATTTCTAAAACCCTGCAGTATTTAAGAAGTATTTGTAGTTTTACAGTTTCATAATAATGAACAAATGGACACCTCAAAGTTATGGCAGTGAAAGGTGAGGTTACAAATGCTATTATACCCATGTTGGATAATAAAGAAATAATTTCTTGTTTAAACCCTTCATCTAGTTGTAAACTTCTTCCCCATCCTCCACTGTATGTAGAGGATTTTGAATTACTCTATAAAAATCAAATTAAAGGTTGAATTAATTATGTAAGATATTAACTGATTTGTATTTAATATATTTTAATCCATAAAAATATAAATAAAGAATGGTAAATTTCAAGAAAAAATATACATTTAGTGCAAGTTATGAATTACATTTCTTTCTTCAGTGTCAGCAGTGGAACATCTTTTTGTGGTAAAGGAAAACTAAAGATGATTGATTTTAATTTAATGTAAAAAATATGTCCAGTGTTTCCGCATGCAATTACCATCAGATACACCTATACAGAATTGTTCCTGTTCTTAGTTATCAGAGTAGCAGTACTTTCCTTATACTGCACAACATTGGTATATGTCAGTGTCTTCAATAATACAAAAATTGCATAAGACCAGGTCACATTATTGATATATTCTGCAGGAAAAGCATTTTCCTAGAAACTCAAGTTTAATCTATTTTTAAATTTTTCTGAAATCACAGCACCTAAGGCTGCAAAATTTCACACATGCTTCACACAAGGTATTACCTGTTCAATCTGCTTTTGCTGAAGCAGATTCAGACTGCCGCCTCAAGCTTTTCATGATGTACGAACTACATGTTTAATGGCACAAGAAAAACTCCCTTCTTGTGATCAAACCTTAGTAAGTCACAGTACATCTCAATATGAGAAACTACTGCTTCAGAAGGGCACACCAATTTTAAAGAGCCTTTGTTACAGCTCAGGAGAGAGAGAGAGAGAAATAAAAGCTCTTCTGGAATGTAGAAAGGTGATGAGTACTAATTATATATTTCATGAATTAACACAACAGTTTTCAATGGTAAAAAGGGAAAGACCTTGCAATCCTCAAAAAATGGCTCAATTCAAGTGATCCCTCTGGAAACAGGGACTAACAATGCATCTTGTCAATGTTAGCACAGGGCTTTGAGAATTCTGTCTTCTGACCCAGCTTTCGCACTGCACTATCATGGCAGATCTGTCATCATGGAACGCATCCAGTGCAGGATAGCAGAGGCTCACACTCTCCATGTTACAGTGAGGAACTCCCACCTCTCCGTGCTCCCCCAGACCAACTTTTAAATTCCAACTGCACGGCTATGCAAAAATCCAGCTCTTAATTCCAACCACAGAAGACTCCTTCAGGCTAAAGTGTTGTACTGTTCAACAAATGAACCTCCTCTTCTGTTTCCTCTCTCTCCTCAGCTATGGGCTTCAGTTGAACATTATTGATGCGGGATCTTGGTTTGCCGTCTGGGCCATATGACGGAGGATATCTTTTTTTGTTATAATGCCAAGGAGGCGCCTGAAAAGGATAAATAGAAAATGGCTATTATTCTACTAGAAAAAAGAAACAGAACTAAATCTGTAGCCAAGTCCTTTTTGTTGACAGGAATAGAGCAAATAGGCTGATTTTCTTGTTTAAATAAAAACATTTTATTAATAAAAATATCAAGTAACCATCATTTTGTTAAAAGAGAGCAGCGTGGAGGCACCAAATAGGATGGTCACTAAACTATAATCCATTTTTCATTAGATGCAATTATGCAAGCAGAGTCCAAGCCCATTTATATTTAATTTGTTTGTTTCTACAAAATGAAATTTTGATTAAGGTATGCCAACAAAAAAGTAACAAAGGACAAAGAACAAAGGAGGTATGAATAAAAAGTGATATTGATCCCATTTTGAAAGGAAAATATGCTCCAATCTAGCCACCAGAAGTCACAAATTGCTTGATGGCCCCAAGCCTTGACATTAAATCAAACTTTTTTTATATACATTACATTTAGAGGATCATTCCAGTCTAACATATTGGCTTAGTTTGGTATCTTCATAAGAGCACATATATTTAAGTGTAGAATTAAAGCAATATAATCAGTAGCTGTGTTTTCAAGTTTAGAACCTTAAAAAGTAAGCCAATAAATAACCAATTTTAAAAGACTATATACATTTTAAAATTTCATGTTGTGCTTTTATGAAAAGATCTTAATAGCTGTTAAGAATATAACCGTGTGTTATATCAAAAAAGTAAAGCTGCCTTAAAGGATAATATCACAAGAGAAGCAGAAAGCAGAAAGAATGAGCTGCTAATCTTGTTAATCTTGTTAGTGCTTTTTGTTTGTATTTTAAAGGAGGCATGAAATACTTGTGAAATAAAATAAAATGTGAACATAACATGTTTTGCACATAAGCAGCTACATTTGGAGGGCAGGTTTAGTAGAGATGCAACAATTGCAGAGTAACATCCAAATTAAGATAATTTCTAAGTTACAACTAACGTTAGATCACAACATCTTAATGATACGCTTTATCTAAGTTATGAAGCCACTAGTAAAAATATTAACAAGCTATTCTGCGGCTTAGGACATAACTAGACATCTTATGAAGGGACACTGATTGCTATAGATGATAGGAGAACATATAGTGCATCACAACAAATAAAGGACTGGTTTTTAGAAGCATGCAGATACATGGGGCATAGCAGAGGAAGGGTCTAATGCCACATTAAGTACAAATTATATTCTGGTTTGGTTGTCAGAAAGCTCAACTCATTGGTCAGAGTCTAAGACCATCAGAGTTTCTGATAACTCAATTATCGGAAGCTGCCAAAGATCAGGCAAATCTTAGTTTTAATTCAAAAGAACATTAATATATGCTATCAATCAAGCAATAAATTAAATAAAGGAAAAGGAAAGAGTTTCCTAGCTGGGCCTTTCCCCATCTGGCATAATATAATAATCTGTCATCCTTCTAAGACCATCAGAGTTTCTGATAACTGATCTCTATAACTTTTTTTTAATGTTGTGATTAACAGCAAATTTTTAGCAGTATGCCTATACAGCTCAGTTTTTACAAATATTTTACATTATAAACGCTTTAATTCAAATTATCATATTTGTTGCACAGGAAGATTTTTGTTGTTCAGCTGATGTTACAGTAAGAGAACACTGAACAGTTCACAAGTTTCATGCTTCCTGACTTCTAACATGTCTAATTAGGAGATCTGATATATCTAATCACCAAGGGTTCGACGTGCTGCTTTAGTTGCTCGAGATGTTCTAATATGTTCTTCTTTGTGATGATCCCCAAGACAATCCTGAAACAGATCATGTTATGCTAATAACTGTGTGAATCAAATAAAAAAAAGTTCCAATCATAATGAGAGGTTTAGAATAGAATAAAATGAAAAAAAAAAAAAAAGAGGACTGCAAGAATGCTAATAATGAAGTAGTTAAATGAAGAGTGATTTGACAATCAGTACCTTTTCACAGATTAATAATTTGTTTTCTACGTGGCACAAAAATGCATCTTTAACCTTAAATGTTGATTATTTAACTTGTTTCTTTCAGAAATTACTTCTGAGTTCACATAAAAATCAGAAGCTGAAATTTTAGCCTGCCTCGTTAGATGCAGATGACTAAAATCAAATTACGGATTTTAGGAAGTCAAAGAAACTGTGTATGAAGCTACCTTTACAGCTAAATCATTCTGAGTGGTAGCCCAGGCTGTGCTGAGCCTAATTGCACTCATATCAGTTTTTAAATCAGGATTGACTCGACTGAATCAACACGTTAGTGTTAATTAATAAGTTAAACCTTCTTTCTATGTACTTTCCAATGCTCCTTAATTTCTTACCACAACTATCAATTAACACAAGCTTTCTAGTCCAAGCTATTATTGTTGCACAAACTCATTTTAATAAATGGGAGATTATCTGTCTTTTGTTTTGTTGCATCTGACGAAGTGGGTCTTTGCCCACGAAAGCTTATGCTCCTACACTTCAGTTAGTCTATAAGGTGCCACAGGACTCCTCGCCGCTTTTGCAGATTCAGACTAACACGGCTACCCCTCTGATACTATCTGTCTTTTGAGAGCATATTTGATTTACAGATTCCGTTACATGTATTTCTTTTGCCATAATTTAGATTACTTTCATCCTTTCTATCTACCTGGCAGTTTGCTTACTCCCATTACCCATAACATCACAAACAAGGTTTAAAATTTGACCAGAGGTAAATACTGAGCTCACAAAGTAACACATTTATAAACTGAAGCAGGAGAACAAAAATTGTTGTTACAGCACAACTGATTAATGAAGTAATCTACATTTTCTACTAAATTTATGCTGAAAGCAACTGTTTAAAATTCACAATAGGCTTTTATATTAATTTTGTATGGTTAACCTTTCTTTATAATTTATTATTCCAAAGCAATTATTAGGTATTTGAGTTTTAAACTGCAGTATAAACTACTTATAGTACTGAACAGCTCAACACAAATATTCCTTAGAGAAATACTAGTATTGCAGATTTCCTTCCCCAAATTGAGCTCCAGAAATGTAATTAGACACATAAACTGACGTAAAATTGATAGAGTATGAGTCCCTTGTCCTCAAGTAGAAAAATTTACTATTTAAATTTCAGAAAAATTCCCACTATTCTTTCAGCACATGCATGTGTTAATGAACAAATTTAAAGCAAATGCATTTTAATCATGCTTTCACGATGGTATCATCTGAACAATGCAATTTAAAACATAAATTTGCTATTCTTTAATTTATAGCAGCAGCTCATTTGACAATAACAAAACAAATAAAGAAACCTTCCACTCAGGTATTTTAGTTCTCCACTTTATCCTCCCATAGTCATTCATGCTAAACAACATAAAATTATTAAGGAATGTTCCTCTTCTTGGGTGTCTTGTAAATGTATGCTAAAAAGAAAGTATGACAACTTTATCAAAGACTGATGCATTTAATTACATTTCTCACTGAATATATGTGAAAGCAAAGTACTCAGTACATTCAGTCTCTTGAAGGTCAATTGAATTAACTGTATGTGCAAAACTGGGGATACCAACAGAAAGAAAATTTTAAAAATGTGTCTATTAATGCCTGATATGTCAATGCTGTAATGAAAACCCCATGGTTACCCATTCTAAGGACTTGGGTTAATTGTAATGTAGGCACTGGGGCTAGTGTTTCCAACTTTCTAATCACATAAAACTGAATGCCCCTGCCCTGCCCCAACTCCTCTAAGTTCCCATACCTTACTTGCTTCTTCCTGCCTCCCTCCATCGTATGCTTCAAAGGTTCAGCAAAGGGCAACAAAAATGATTAAGGATTTGGAATGGGCCACATATGAAGAGAGATTAAAAAGACTTGGACATTTCAGCTTAGAAAAGAGGAGACTAAGGGGGGATATGACAGAGGTCTATAAAATCATGACCGGTGTGGAAAAAGTAAATAAGGAACAGTTATTTATTTATTCTCACAATACAGGCAGTCCCCGGGTTACGTACAAGATAGGGACTGTAGGGTTTGTTCTTACGTTGAATCTGTATGTAAGTCGGAACTGGCGTCAGCCGCTGCTGAAA